ATAGTAGGGCGGTTGGGGCGGGGGATGTGGAGCAGACCGGAGCCAGAGGAACGGAGGGTACGGGCGGGTAGGTAGGGGGATAGTAGGTCGGAGAGGTAGGAGGGAGCGAGACCGTGAATGGCCTTGTAGGTGAGGGTGAGGATCTTGAATTCGAATGGCTAGTGACAATGTGGGCTAATACAATGACTAGTGACAGTGTGCGCTAATAGCAATGCCTTGTGACAATGTGGCTAAATCAAAGGCTACTGACAATGTGGGCTAATAGAAATGGCTAGTGACAGTGTGGACTAATAGTAATGGCGAGTGACAGTGTGTGCTAATAGCAATGGCTGGTGACAGTGTGGGCTAATAGCAATGGCTGGTGACAGTGTGGGCTGATAGCAATGGCTGGTGATAGTGTGGGCTAATAGCAATGGCTGGTGACAGTGTGGGCTAATAGCAATGGCTGGTGACAGTGTGGGCTAATAGCAATGGCTGGTGACAGTGTGGGCTAATAGCAATGGCTGGTGACAGTGTGGGCTAATAGCAATGGCTGGTGACAGTGTGGGCTAATAGCAATGGCTGGTGACAGTGTGGGCTAATAGCAATGGCTGGTGACAGTGTGGGCTAATAGCAATGGCTGGTGACAGTGTGGGCTAATAGCAATGGCTGGTGACAGTGTGGGCTAATAGTTATGGCAGATGACAGTGTGGGCTAATAGCAATGGACAGTGACAGTGTGGGCTAATAGCAATGGCTGGTGACAGTGTGGGCTAATAGTTATGGCAGATGACAGTGTGGGCTAATAGCAATGGACAGTGACAGTGTGGGCTAACAGCAATGGCTAGTGACAGTGTGTGCTGATAGCAATGGCTAGTGACAGTGTGTGCTGATAGCAATGGCTTGTGATGGAGTGTGGTAATACTTATGGTTAGTGACAGTGTGTGGTAATAGCAGCGGCTAATGACATTGTGTGGTAATAGTAATGGCTAGTGATAGTGTGGGCTAATAGTAGTGCCTCGTCACAGTGCGTGCTAATAGTAATGGCTAGTGACAATGTGGGCTAATAACAATGACTAGTGACAGTGTGTGCTAATAGCAATGCCTTGTGACAATGTGGGCTAATAACAATGACTAGTGACAGTGTGTGCTAATAGCAATGCCTTGTGACAATGTGGGCTAATAGCAAAGGCTACTGACAATGTGGGCTAATACTAATGGCTAGTGACAGTGTGGGCTAACAGTAATTCCTCGTGAAAGTTTGTGTTCATAGCAATGGATGGTGAAAGTCTGGGTTAATAGAAATGGCTCACGACAGTGTGGGCTAATAGTAGCAGCTAGTGACAGTGTGTACCAAGAGTAATGGCTAGTGACGTATTGGCTAATAGCAACGGCTAGTGACAATGTGTGCTAATAGTAATGGCTAGTGACAGTGCGTGCTAATAGTGATGTCTGGTGACAGTGTGTGCTAATAGTAATGTCTATTGAGAGTGTGGGCTAATAGCAACGGCTAGTGACAGTGTGGGCTAATAGCAACAGCTAGTGACCGTGTTTGCTAATAGCAACGGCTAGTGACAGCGTGGGCTAATAGTAAAGGCTTGTCACAATATGTGCTCATGGCAGTGAATACTGACAGTGTGGGCTAATAGCAATGGCTAGTGAAAGTGTGGGCTAGGAGTAATGGCCAGTGTGGGCTAATAGCAATGGCTGGTGACAGTGTGTGCTCATGGTAATGGCTAGTGACTGTGTGTACTAATAGTAATGGCTAATGACAGTGTGGGCTAATAGTAATGGCTGGTGACAGTGTTTGCTGACAGCAATGGCTAATGACAGTGTGGGCTAATAGCAATGGCTAATGACAGTGTGGGCTAACAGCAATGGCTAGTGGCAGTGTGGGTTAATAGTAATAGTTAGTGGCAGTTTATACTCATAGTAATGGCTAGTGACAGTGTGGGCTAATAGTAAATGCTGGTGACACGGTGTCCTTACAGTAATGGCTGGTTATAGTGTGGGCTAATGGTAAATGCTAATGACAGTGTTTGCTCATGGTAATGGCTTGTGACAATGTGTGCTGATAGCCAGGCACTGGCTAGTGAGGACTCGCGTTTTACCCACAAATATATAGTCATTTTAGTTAACAGTCTATCGTGAAAAGTCCTTCGAGTTGTCTCGACAACACGACGTGGAGTCCTGTGGGTTAGTGTCTAAAGCACTCGCCTCGCAATGAAAGGATCTGGGTTCGATTGCTGGGCAGGGCGATACATTTGTCTTTTTTCCTTTACTCCACGCGCCTCTGTTCATGTAGAGGCAATAATCCCTTAAAAAATTAATGATAATTTGCTCACTCAATCCACAGCCGTTCGTAGGAAGCAATTGGCTGCCATGTTTCACCCACAATATATCCAGTCACTTTGCAGTATATCCTGTGAGGTGCTTTGAGACGTCTCGAAGCTGCGATAAGGCGTCGTGTGAAATGCAACGATCGTTATTATCATTAAGGCGCTGCAACAAATGCAAAGACTTATCGCTATGAAACCTTTCACAACAGGAAGATGTCTCAATGCGCTTCATAGGGTTCGCTGTGAAGCGCTGTGCATTGTAACTCACAAAGTCCCACAAACAGCTGTGAAGCGAGTGATCAATTTTATCGGGGGATAGTCGTGCAGGAAACAGGGGTGGGGGGGGAGAGAAAAAGAGAGAAACTCCCATCGCTAATCAAATAGCGCCATGGGAGATCGTTAACTTCCACCTGAACAGGGCATAGAGGGGGAACTGTGTCGGACAGCGTCTCAGACAACGCAGTGCTGCCCCCAGCACTGCGCTGCGCGTCAGCTTCAACTGCGCGCTCAAAACCCCGACGTGGGGCGTGAAGCCACCACCTCCTGACTCAGCGACGATCGACTGAGCCGGGCTGTCACCTAAGGCAATATTCATCCCATCTACTGATTTGTGATTTTTTTTTTTTGGTCAGTCGGGGTGTCTGACACATGCAGAACCCCTCACTGTGCTTAAGTGTATCCAAACCACCGCACCAACAACCTGCATTTATATTGAGCCCCTCACGCGGGGTAGAGTTCCAGAGCGCCCGCCGAGCCAGGGAAGGGGCACGTGACCCTAGGCACGGATGAATGGGAGATCTTCAGACGCGAACTGAAGACGGAGAAGGAAGGAGCAAGGCAGAGAGCGATAGAGGAAGAGTGTTCCAGAGTTTCGGGGCAAGGTGGCTGAAAGAGCGGCCGCCAATGCTGGAACACGAGGGATGTGCGGAAGCCAGAGCCAGTTGAGCAGAGGCAGCAGGTTGTGTGTTGGGGTGGTGAGCAGGTGGGAGGGGTGGGGAAGTGCCGGGGCATGAAGGGATTTGAAAACGAGGGTGAGGATCTTGAAATCGATCCTTGAAGTCCGCATGCATATAATAATAATAATAATAATAATAATAATCCTTGCATTTGATATAGCGCTTTTCACGTCGGGAGGACGTCCCAAAGCGCTTCACAGAACACACTGTAAAGTGAATTGACTGTATATTTGTGGGCGAACGCGGCAGCCGATGGCGCACAGCAATGTCCCACAGACAGTCGTGGATTGAAAATGACCAATTTATTATTGTTTTTGGTTTTGGAGGGATTATTATTAGGCTCTGTGTGGAGTAAGGAAACTTGCCCGAGGTTTGGCCCTCTGCCTGGAACTGAACTCAGGTCTCTCGCTCGCAAAGCGAGTGCTCTAACCACTGAGCTCACTGGTTAGAGCACTCGCTTTGTATATGTCACCTACATCTGGAAATCTTCGCTCTCTGGTCCGGAATACGCACTCGCTCTCTCGCTCTCCCCCCGGTGGGATGTATCTTGCTTACCTAATCCCGGAGAGTGTTAGGCGCCGGTTGGCAGCACTTGGGGACCACAGAGTTTGTCTTGGGGTAACTGCTGGAGTCTAACCAGCCATAATCTGCCATTGGGAGCGTTGCCTTTCAGGCTTTCCTGGTATCCTCCTCTCTGTGACCACAGTTCCATTAACACGACCAGGATCACTCAATCACTTGCCTCTCTCACTCTCTCAATCACTTTGCTCTCTCTCTCTCTCTCTCTATCTCTCTCTCTCTCAGTACCTCACTCACTCCCTCGCTCACTCACGTACGTGCTAACTCACACCCTCCCTTAATCTCACACTCCCTTTGCTCTCTCTCTTGCTCACTCCTTCGTTCTCTTGCTCTCCTCTGCTCTGTGCCCACAGTGCCATTGATGTGACCCAGCTGCCTTCACTCAATCCCTCACTCACTCATTCACTCCTTCCCTCGCTCGCCCATTTCATCCCTCTCTTGCTCTCTCATTCCTTCTCTCCCTTACTACCTCACACTCTCCCTCACTCCTTCCCTCCCTCACTCTCACTCCTTGACTCCATCATTCTGTTGTTTACTCACTCCCTCACTCTTCACACTCTCACTCCCTCCCTTACTCTTTTACTCACTCCGTCACTCACTCCCTCCTTCATGCCCTCACTCTCTCACTCCCTCCTTCACTCACTCTCTCACTCCCTCACTCTCTCACTCACATTCTCGCTCCCTCATTCCTTCCCTCCCTCCGTGCTTCACTCACTCCTTCTCTCCCTTCCTCCCTCCTTCACTCTCTCCATCTCCCTCCCTCGCTCCCTCACTCTCACTCACTCTATTCTCACTCCCTCACTCCTTCACTCACACACTACATCTGTCCATCACTCACTCACTCCCTCACTCACTCTGTCCCTTCCACCCTCCCTCCCTCCCTCTGCCACTCCCTAACTCACTCATTCTCTCACTCCTTCCTCACACACTCCCTCCTTTTATCACTTTCTCACTCCCTCTCTCCATCCCTCCCTCACTCTCTCACTTGCTCTCACTCCCTCCTTTACTCCTTCACTCCCTCCGTTTCCCTCCCTCACTCTTTCACTCCCTCACTCTCTCACTCCCACACCCTCTCACTCCCTTACTCTCTCCCTCCCTCACTGTCTCACTCCCTCCCTCACTCGCTATCCTCCTCTCTGTGCCCACAGCTCCATTGACATGACGCGGCTGCCTTCGCCCACCAAGGAGAAAGGGAAAGACGTGTTCTATGTGACAAGGCCCCCACTGGCCCGCTCCTCCCCGGCCTACTGCACCAGCAGCTCGGACATCACCGAGCCCGACCCAAAGATCATGACCACGAACAAGAGCATCTCCATGTTGGATCTGCAGGACAGCCGCAGCATGAACAGCATCAGCAACCTGCAGACGGTGGGCGACATGCTGAACAGCAGCCAGGCCTCCATCGGGACCACAGTGGGAGTGGGCCTGAGGCCTAGCCGGTTGTCACAGGGCAGTGGCTCGAGCATGTCGGCCGGGCTACGGCTCAGCCAGATGGGGATGACCACAGATGGTCTGCACGGCCTCCGGGTCCCCCTATCCTTTCAGAATCCACTGTTTAACATGACGTCAGACGGGCCCACCTCACTACGGACTCCCGCAGAGCCTGGGGCCGGGCTGCTGGGTTACCACGGCTACAGCAAGAGCGAGGACCTGTCGGCCAACAAGCAGATCTTCCACAGCCACAGCTACAGCGATGAGTTTGCCCGTCAGAACAGTGAGCTGACACGGAGGCAGCTGTCACTCACTGACAACCTGCAGCATATGCTATCAGCCCCCCCAGCCAACATTGGGCCCCAGCGCCGGATAGACCAGCCCCCACCCCCGGCCCCCCAGCCCGCACCCCCCGCCCGCGGAAAACCCCAGCAGCTGACGGTCAGCGCCGCACAGAGGCCTCGTCCCCCCAGCGCTAACCTCCTGGCCTCGCCCGCTGAGCCCACAGGCCCCAAGTCCCGGCAGCAATCCATCACCACGAAAACTGATACCCCGGCAGCCAAAGCCGGCATCACCAAACAGGTACCACTAAACACTGGGTTATAGCCAGAAACACAGTGCGAGGCACACTAAACACTGGGTTATAGCCAGAAACACAGTGCGAGACACACTAAACACTGGGTTACAGCCAGTAATACAGTGTGTGTGATACACACTATATACTGAGTTATAGCCAATAATAGAGCGAGACACACTAAACACTGGGTTATAGCCAGAAACACAGTGCGAGACACACTAAACACTGGGTTATAGCCAGAAACACAGTGCGAGACACACTAAACACTGGGTTATAGCCAGAAACACAGTGCGAGACACACTAAACACTGGGTTATAGCCAGTAACACAGTGTGAGACACACTAAACACTGGGTTACAGCCAGTAATACAGTGTGTGATACACACTATATACTGAGTTATAGCAAATAATAGTGTGAGACACACTAAACACTGGGTTATAGCCAGTAACACAGTGTGAGACACACTAAACACTGAGTTATAGCGAGTAACACAGTATGTGACAACATAATAATAATAATAATACTTGCATTTGATATCACGGCTTATCATGTCTTCAAGACGTCTCAAAACGCTACACAGAATATAATGTAAAATGAATAGACTGTATATTTTGTGGGAGAAAATCGGCAGCCAATTGCACACAGCACTGTCCCACAAACTGTCATGGATTGAAGCGACCAATTTATTGTTAATTTTTTTTTAAGGAATTATTACCCCCGGAAAAACAATCCACCAATTGACTAGCAACTGGGTTCCTACTTACTGCTAGGGAAACAGAGGGGTGTGGAGTAAGGAAACTTGCCCAACATTTTTTCCTGTCGGGAATCGAACCCAGGTCTCACATTGCAAGACGAGTGCTCTAACCACTGAGCTACAGGACTCTACTGACCCAAGAACATAAGAAATGCTAAACGAAGAAAGACGAAGGTCCATCTAGTTTGTCTTCCACCATCCTTGCGGTCGCATGTACATATGTTCTGATTAGTATCTATGTACTATCCCATAATATTATTTCCTAAAAGAAATCTAATCTGTGTTTGAAGGCATCAACATTTCCTGCTTCAAACGTCGCCCCATAAAATATACAAAGGTAGCCAAAAACATAGTGTTTTATTACATACTATACAGTGTTATACAGTAAAACAGTGTTATTAGATGCTATACAGTGTTATACAGTAACTCAGTGTGTTATATACTATAGCATTATACAATAATACAGTGTGGTATTATATAATACACACAGTTATAGCCATAACAGAATAGTTGGTGCCTCATTTGGAGTATGAATAACCTCATGAATTGGTCGGGCAGAATGGCCTGTTTCCTTGTGGGATCGCTTTGCTCTGTGAAATTCTCTGAAACAAATGAAACACGTGAATGTTTGGACCAAATCACTATCAGAGTTTGTTTCAGATTGATGTTGACAGCCTGGCTCAGTGGCAGCGCTCTCTCTCTCTCTCTCTCTCTCTTGCCTCTGGGTGAGAAGGTTGTGGGCTCAAGCCCCACACAGTCTAAGCTGACGCTCCAGTGCAGCGCTGGGGGTGACCTGCATTGTCGGAGGCGCCATCCTTCAGATGAGATGTTAAACCTCACTCCCCATTTGTGCCTGTTCAGGTGGACGTTAAAGATCTTGCGGCGATATTGATAAAGAGAAGGGAATTTCTCCCTATGTCCTCATAGAATCATAGAATATTACAGCACAGAAAGAGCCCATTCAGCCCACCGTGCCTGTGAAAGGGAGACCAACTAGTCCCACTCCCCCGCTCTTGCGCCATAGCCCTGCAAATTTTTCCTTTTTCAAGTACTTAATTCCATTTTCAAAGCTACTATCAAATTTGCTTCCACCACCCTTTCAGGTAGTGTATTCCAGACCGTAGCAATTCTCTGGTTAAAAATAATTCTCCTCATCTCCCCTCTTTGGTTCTTATCTTAACTCTTCACATGATCAAAGTATCTCATCCCTTGTATCTTCTGGTAAATCTCCTTTGCACCCTCTCCGCGGTGGACATAATACTACAGCTGAGACCTAACCAGTGATTTGTAAAGGTTAACATAACTTCCTTACTTTTGTACTCTGTACAAAGCCAAGGATCCCATTTGCTTTTTTAGCAGCTTTATCACCTTGTCCTGCCACCTTCAAAGACCTGTGTGCGTGAACCCCCAGGTTTCTCTGCTCCTATACCCCCTTTGAAACTGTATCAGGTAATTGATATACATTAAAAAGAAGAGTGGTCCTAATACCGACCCCTGGGGGACACCACGATATACCTCCCTCCAGCCTGATAAACATTCACCACTTCCTCCTGCTTTCTGTTTCCCAGGAATTTCATCCAAGCTGACAATCCCCCAAATAGAGTTGGTCGCTCACTTCATGGCTACTTGTGGGATGTTGCTGTGCGCAATTTGTCTGCTCCATTTGCCCACAAATGTTTTCTGTGAAGCTCTTTTTGGGCATCCTCCTGACATGAAAGAAACTATATCAAATGCAAACTATTATTATTAATGTGACACGAACATTGGCAAGGTTTTTTTTCTTAAAATTGTTTGGGAGCGAGATGGAGGGAGGGAGGGAGGGAGGGTGGGAGTATCTCAAGGAACTGGTGGTTGGACAGGACAGTGAGGCTCTCTCTCGCGCGTTCTCTATCGCACACTCACGCTCACTCTCACACACTCACTCACATACACACACTCACGTACACACACTCACACTCTCACAAAGCTCACTGCTTTGACGCCTCACACACACCCACACACACACCCACACCCACACACACACACACGCACACACACACACATCCCTGCACTCTCATACACACATACTCACCGAATTCTGTCTGTTTGGATTTCTCAGCCGTCGCATTCCCCTTCGACACTGCACCCTGTCACCCCATCGGAGAGGACAGTTGCCTGGGTGACCAACATGACCCACCTGTCTGCAGACATCGAGAGCTCACACCTGGACCGCGAGGAGTACAAACTGCGAGAATATTCCAAATCCATGGACGAGAGTCGGCTCGACAAGGTGAAGACATCTCAGGGCGTCTTGGTGCTGTATCATACAATCATAAAATATTAACGCACAGAAGGAGGCCATTTGGAAGAACTACCCAATGAGTCCCACTTCCCCGCTCTTTCCCCATACCCCTGCAAATTCAAGTATCCATCTCATTCCCTTTTCAAAGTTGTTATTGAATCTGTTTCCACCACCCTTTCAGGCAGTGCATTCCAGACCGTAAGAACTCTCTGTTAAAAAATATCTTCTCCCCTCTGGTTCTTTTGCCAGTTAACTTAAATCTATGTGCCCGGTTACTGACGTACCTGCCAGTGGAAACAGTTTGTCCCTATGTTCTCTATCAAAACCCCTCATAATTTGTAACACCTCTATTAAATCTCCCCTTAACCTTCTCTGGTTGAAGGAGAACAGTCCCAGCTTCTCTGGTCTCTCCACATAATTAAAGACCCTCATCCCTGGTACCATCCTGCTAAACCTCTGCGCCATTTGTAGTGTCAGGGCCTTGGGTTGGGACCCCTGCTGCTGTAGTGACTATCGTCTCAGGACTCCTGGTGCTGCAGTGACTGTAGTGTCAGGGCCCCTAGTGCTGTAGTGACCTTACTTTCAGGTATTATGAAACTGTCCAGTACCTTGGGACGTCCTCCCGACGTGAAGGGCGCTATCTAAATCTAATTTTGTTGCTGTTGTTGGACTGTAGCGTCAGGGCTTCTGGTGCAGAAATGACTGTAGTGTCAGGGCTCCTGGTGCTGTTGTATTATGAGTTGGACCAATAGAAAAGTGCAGAAATATTTGCCCCAACCTGCAGGGCTTTTGTGGAGTGCTGCGGGGGTGTCGGTTGGGGCTATTGAGAGATGTTGTTTGTAAAACAACCCGGATTATAACTGTTGGTATATATTTCCTGAACATGTCATGTTTAACATACTAAAATTGTTAATGTGAACAGTACAGTACTAACCAAGAATTCATCGCAGGAGCTCACCTTAGGCCAAGGGCACCTGACACAACCAATTACCTGCTAGCGTCGCTTCCGCGATGCCAACACATCCTGCCATCCCAAGACTCCCGCCATCCCAATACTCCCCATCCCAACACTCCCCATTGCAACACACCCCATCGCATCACTCCCTACAATCTTAACACTCGCCGCAATCCTAACAGTCCCCTCCTCATCCCAGCACTCCCCACCATTCCAACGATCCCAAACACAACACTCCTAATCATCTCAGCACACCCCATCCCAATACTCATCGCCATCCCAACACTCCCTATCCCAACATTCGTCACCATCCCAACAGTCCCAGCCATCCCAGCATTCCTCATCCCAACACTAAAGTATATCCCAACGCTTTTTGCCATCCCAGCACTCCCTGCTAACCCAATAATCCCCACCATCCCAACACTCCCCACCATCTCAACACTCAACACTATCCAACATTCACCATACCAACACCCTCATCCCAACACACTCACCATCTCAACACCCCCCATTTCAACACTCTTCACCATCCCAACACTCCCCATTTCAACACTCCCCATCCCTATCCCAAAACTCACCATCCCCAAATTCTCCAACATCCCAACATTTCCCATCCCAACACTCACCATCCCAATACTCCCCATCCCTACACTCTTCACCATCCCAACACTCCCCATTTCAATAATCCCCATCCCCATCCCAAAACTTACCATCCCCAAATTCTCCAATATCCCAACACTCCCGATCTCAACACTTACCACCATCCCAATAATCCGCATCCCAACACTCTTCACCATCCCAAATCTCCCCATCTCAACACTCCCCACCATTCCAACTCTTCCCATCCTAACATTCCCCACCATACCCCGCCGCCCCAGCAATCTGCATCCCAACAATCTCCATGTCAACACAACGCATCCCAACATTCATCACCATATCCCGCCATCCCAACACTCCCCCCGAAATCCCAACACTCCCCATTCCAACACTCCGCACCATCCCAACACACCCCATTCCAACACTATTCACAATCCCAACACGCATCATCCCAACCCTCTTTACCATCCCAACACTCCCCATCCCAACACTTCCAATCCCAACACTTCCCATTCCAACACTCCCAACCATTCCAACAATTCCCATCCAAACACACCGCAACATTCGTCGCCATCCCAACAGTCCCAGCATTCCTCATCCCAACACTAAAGTATATCCCAACACTTTTTGCCATCCCAGCACTCCCTGCTAACCCAATATTCCCCACCATCCCAACACTCCCCACCATCTCAACACTCAACACTATCCCAACATTCACCATACCAACACTCCCATCCCAACACTCTCACCATCTCAACACCCCCCATTTCAACACTCTTCACCATCCCAACACTCCCCATCTCAATAATCCCCATCCCCATCCCAAAACTCACCATCCCAAACTCTCCAATATCCTAACATTCCCCATCCCAACACACCCCATTCCAACACTCCTCACCATCTCAACCCTCTTCACCATCCCAACACTTCCAATCCCAACACTCCCCATTCCAACACTCTTCACCATCGCAACATGCGCCATCCCAACACTCTTCACCATCCCAATAGTCCCCATCCCAACACTCTTCACCATCCCAACACTCCCCATCTCAATAATCCCCATCCCAAAACTCACCATCCCCAAATTCTCCAATATCCCAACACTCCCGATCTCAACACTTCCCACCATCCCAATACTCCCCATCCCAACACTCTTCACCATCCCAAATCTCCCCATCTCAACACTACCCACCATTCCAACTCTTCACCATCCCAATACTCCCCATCCTAACATTCCCCACCATCCCAACATACTGCATTCCAACACTCTTCACCATCACAACACGCCCCATCCCAACACTCTTCACCATCCCAATACACCCCATCCCAACACTCTCCAATATTCCAACATTCCCCATCCCAACACTCACCATCTGAATCCTCCCCACCATCCCAACAATTCCCATCAACACTCCGCATCTCAACACTTTGCACCATCCCAACATCCCATTCCAACACTCCTCACCCCAACATTCTCCAACATTCCTACACTCCCCACCATCCCCACACTCCCCATTCCAACACACTTTACCATCCCAACACTCCCCAAGATCCCAACACTCCCAACCATTCCAATAATCCCGATCCAAACACACCACATCCCAACAATCCCCAACATCCCAACACTCACCAACATCCCAACACTCACCATTCCAGCACTCCCCATTGCAACACAACACATCCCAACATTCGTCACCATATCCCGCCATCCCAACACTCGCCACAAAATCTCAACACACCCCATCCCAAAAATCACCATTCCAACACTGTTCACCATCCCAACTCTCCCTATCCTAACACTGCACCATCCCAACAAACCCCATTCCAACACTCTTCACCATTCCAACACACTGTATCTATACACTCTTCACCATCCCAACTCTCCCTATCCTAACACTCACCACCATCCCAACAATCCCGATTCCAACACTCTTCACCATCCCAACACGCCCCATCCCAAACCGCCCCAACATCCCAACACTCCCCACCATTCCAACAATCCCCATTCCAACACTCCCCATTCCAACACACCGCATCCCAACATTCATCACAATATCCCACCATCCCAACACTCCCCACAAAATCCTAACACTCCCCATCCAACCAATCACCATCCCAACATTCCTCTCTATCCCAACACTCCCCATCCCAACACTACCAACTACTCAATAACCCCATCCCAACTCTCGTCATTCCAACACTCTTCACCATGCCAACTCTCCCTATCCTAACTCTCCGCACCATCTCAACACACCCCATTCCAACACTCTTCACCATCCCAACACACCGCATCCCAACACTGTTCACCATCCCAACACTCCCCATCCCAACACTCCCCATTCCAACACTCTTCACCATCGCAACACTCTCCATCCCAACAATGTTTACCATCCCAAAGCCGCCCATCCCAACCCTCCACATCATCCCAATGCTTCCCATCCCAACACTCCCAACAACCCAAAAATCCCATCCTAACATTTCCCAACATACATATGCCCCATTCCAATACTCCCCATTCCAACACTCCCCAACATCCCAATACTCTTCACCATCCCAATGCTCACCATCCTAACATTCCCCACCATCACAACACACCGCATTCCAACATTCTTCACCATCAAAACACGTTCCATCCCAACACTCCCCACCATCCTAATACCCCAATTCCAACACTTCCCACCATCCCAACTCATCCCATCCCAACATGCCCCACCATATCCCGCCGTCCCAACACTCTGCATCTGAACAACCCCATCCCAACACTCCTGATGCCAACATTCTGCACCATCCCAACACTTCCCATCCCAACACTCCTCATTCCAACACGCTTCACCATCCCAAATCTCCCCACCTCAACACTGCCCACCGTCCCAACTCTTCCCATCCCAACATTTCCCACCATACCCCGCCGTCACAACACTCCCCCTGAAATCCTAACACTCCCTATCCCAACACTCTCCAATATCCCAATATTCCCCATCCCAACACTCACCATCCCAAACCTCCCCACCATCCCAACACTTCACACCATCCCAGTCATCCCCATCCCCAAATTCTTCAACATCCCAAATTTCCCCACCTCAACAGTGCCCACCATCCCAACTCTTCCCATCCCAACATTCCCCACCATACCCCGCCGTCACAACACTCCCCCTGATATCCTAACACTCCGCATTCCAACACTCTTCACCGTCCCAACACGCTGCATCCCAACATTTCCCATCCGAACACACTTCACCATCCCAACACTCCCCAACATCCCAACACTCCCAACCATTCCAACAATCCCCATCCAAACACACTACTTCCCAACAATCCCCAACATCACAACACTCCCCATTGCAACACAACACATCCCAACATTCATCACCAAATCCCAACATCCCAAGACTCCACCCGAAATGCCAACACTCCACATGCCAAAAATCACCATTCCAATGCTCCTCACCATCCCAATACACCCAATCCCAACACTCTTCACCATCCCAGTGTTCCCCATTCCAACACTCCCCATTCCAACACTCCCCAACATCCCAACCCTCTTCACCATCCCAACGGTCCCCATCCTAACATTCCCCTCCATCAAAACATACCACATTCCAACACTCTTCACCATCACAACACGCCCCATCCCAATACTCCCCACCATCCCAATACTCCCAATCTCAACACTTCCCACCATCCCAATATGCCCCATTCCAACACTCCCCATTCCAATACTCTCCAGCATCCGAACAGTCTCCAGTGTTGACTCTTCACCATCCCAACGCTCCCTGTCCTAACACTCCCCACCTTCACAACACACCGCATTCCAACACGCTTCACCATCCCCAAACTTCCCATACCAACACTCACCACCATCCTAAAAATCCCCATTCCAATACTCTTCACCATCCCAACACTCCCCAACATCCCGACACTGCCCACCATTCCAACATTCCCCATCCAAACACACCGCATCACAAAATTCCCCAACATCCCAACACTCGCCAACCTCCCAACACTCCCCATTTCTACACTACCCACCATTCCAACACTCCCCATTCCAACACACGGCATCCCAAAATTCATCACCATATCCCGCCATCCCAACACTCCCCCCGAAATACCAACACTCCCCATCCCAGCAATTACCATCACAACTCGCCTCCCCATCCCAACACTCCTCGTTCCAACACTCTTCACCATCCCAACTCTCCCTATCCTAACACTTCGCACCATCCCAACACACCCCATCGCAACACTCTTCACCATCCCAAAACTTCCCATCCCAACACTCACCACCAGCCCAACACTTCCCATTCCAACACTCTTCATCATCCCAACACGCTCCATCCCAACAATCCCCAACTTCCCAACACACCCCACCATTTCAACACTCCTCACTATCCCAACACTCCCCATCCCAACACTCCCCACCATCGCAAATCTCACCATCCCAACATTCTTCACCATGCCGAATCTCCGCATCCCAACACTCTTCACTATCCCAATACATTCAATCCCAACACTCCCACCATCCCAACACCCCCATCCCAACATTCCCACTGTTAAGCATTCCCAAATGCCATGCGTTGTGAAGAGCGTTGCATAAATGTTCATTAGAATACATTAGAAGACATTACAACATACAGCACAGAAACAGGCCATTCGGCCCAACTGGTCTACGCCGGTGTTTATGCTCCACATGAGCCTCCTCCTGCCCTTCCTCAACTAAGCCTTCAAGCCTCACCTTCTATTCCTTTCTCCTTCATGTACCTATCTAGCTTTCCCTTAAATACATCTCTGCCTTTTGCCTCAACAATTCCTTGTGGTAACAAGGAGTTTGTTGTTGTTATTGAACCAAACCATTATAAATGATAAGTCACGTGCAACTGGTTCGGCTGTACATTGGGGGAGGTGGGGGGAGAGTATTCATCTAATCCTTCCCCTGCACCTGATTCCCAGGGACTACAGACCCAATACGAGGAGGAAATCCTCTCCTTGAAGGAGCGGCTGCAGTTGTCGAATCGCAAGCTGGAGGAGTACGAGCGGCGACTGATGTCCCAGGAGGAGCAGACGGGCAAAATCCTGCGGGAATATCAGTCCCGACTAGACGAGAGCGAGCACCGACTGCGGAAGCAGCAGGAAGAGAAAGATGGTCAGATCAAAGGCATCATCAACAGGTCAGTCAGTCAGTCCTCACACTGTAACCCCACTGTAGTGTCAGATTTAATGACATCATGGAGTCCTGTAGCTTCGTGGTTAGAGCACTCAACTTTGCAAGGGAGAGACCTGAGTTCGATTCCTGGCAGGGCGAAATGTTGGGAAAGTTTCTTTACTCCATATGCCTCTGTTTACCCAGCACTAAGTTGGAATCTGCTTGTTAGTCGATTGGCAGATCGCTTTTCCAGGGGTAATAATTATTTTTTATAAAAATAATAATAATAATAATTTGGTCACTTCAATCCACGGTGTTTGTGGGACGCTGCTGTGCGCAATTGGCTGCTGCGTTTCACCCACAAAAATTACAATTTACTTTACCGCATATTCTGTGAAGTGCTTTGAGACGTCTCGAAGACTTGATGAGGCGGTGTATCAAATGCAAAGATTATTATTATTATATCCTGTGCCTCACCTTACAGCGGTTAAGTTAGTGACATGTTGTGGGCTCAAATTCCCCACAACAGGGAGTTTGATCTCAGGTCCAGGCTGACGCAGCAGTGTAGTCCTGGGGGGAGAGAGCGTTGTTGGAGACACCGTTCTTTGGATGACATGTTAACCCTCACTCCCGGTCTGTGCCCTGTCCGGGTTGACGTTAAAGATCCCGCGGTGCTGTTTGACAGGAAAAGTGAGGTGGGGTGGTGTGAGGTGGCTGGGTGGGGGTGGCGGTGAGGTGGGGATGGATTGGGGTGGGGGAAGGTGGTGTGATGTAGGTGAGGTGGGGTTGAGTTGGGTGAGGTGGGTTGAGGGGTGGGTGAGATGGGGGTGAGGTGAGGGTCTTGTTAGCACGTTTCCAAGAGTACAAGGTTTCAGTTGACGTTGGACATAAAGAGGGCATTGCTGGGCAGGGAGTGGAAGAGGCATCTCTGGGCAGGGAGGGGAAGGGGCTCTGTTGGGCAGGGAGGGGAGAGGGCACTGTCAGACCTCACTCCCAGCTCTGCTCTGTCTCTTTCCATCACACCCCCACCCCCCCCCCCCCCCCACCCCAGGTTAATGGCGGTCGAGGATGAACTGAGGAAAGACCATGTGAACATGCAGGAAGCCATCGATGCCAAGCAGAGAATAATTGACGTACAGGTACAGAATATCATCACTTCAAAGATAAGCCAGTGACCAGGCGGCACAAAGCAGCCGCCAGAATATTCCATGTGTTGTTGGGGGTGGGGTGGGGGGAGGGGAGATGGAACGGGAGTCAAACTTTGTCTTTCATAGAAACTCTGTGCTATCGTCTGCCAACCTTTTCCGGGGGAAGAAAAGTGGGTTCCTTCTTCTTAAGTGCTTACATCGCCAGAAGCTTTGTGGAATATGGGTGCAGGTGAATATGGTCTCTCTGCCCCTCCCCGCCTTGGGCTGTGCTTAGGTTTTCACAGAGTCAAATTTGCAGAATTCCTCTGTGTTCACCCACACATACGCGCACAGTCACGATAAAAAAGTTTCACCCACAAAATATTCAGTCAATTCACTTTACAGTATATTCCATGAAGCACTTTGAGACATCTCAAAGACTTGATAAGGCGCTATATCAAATGCAAGGATTATTATTACACATGCAGTTAGTGTTTTCTATCCTGCAAAGCACTTCGGGGCATTAAACCAAGCTCCCCCTGTCCTTGCCCTGCTCAGGTGGACGTTAAAGATCTTCCATGGTGCTAACAGGAAAAGAGAAGGAGGTTTCTCTCTCTCTCTCTCTCCCCTTGTGTCCTGGCCGACAATCCCCAGATGAAGATCACTCATTCACTTTACGGCTATTTGCAGGGATGTCTCTTCTGCACAAATTGGCTGCGACATTTGCTCACAAAACACACAGTTGCTGTGTTTTGCAGTGTATCAGTGAAGGGCTTTGGGATGGCCTCCAGGTGTGAAATGCTCTATACCAAATGCAAGGATTATTATTACAGTAACACTCACTGTAAAGTGGGGACCATAACATTTAATATGATTCACAGTTGCAGGGAAACTATATAAGTTGTAGAAAATCCGATTTAATCAAGAATCTGCGCCTGTGTAATTCACTGTAACCCGGTGAGTGCGTATGCTGTGACAGGATAAGACTACGTTCCCTGCAATTATATACATCTTGACCTGTCACCACATGCCCACTTACAGGAACCATTGAATCACATTGAATCGCGGGATGTGAAGTTCTTCCGTGCATAGGTCGACAGATGAAGATTGCTGTTCCTGCGATTCAGTGCAGCCGATGGTTCCTACTATGTGCCGATGGGAATGTCAATTCCCTCGACTTAAGGCCTCAGGTAAACGGTAATGGAGGGAGGGGAGCGGCGTGAGGAATTAGGAGGTGATTAACATGAGTTGTGTAAAGAGATCTAAGTGGTTTTGATAGGAAACTGAATGGGACTCAGTTGAATGTACGACTTCATAGAATCATAGAATATTACATCACAGAAGGAGGCCATTCAGCCCATCATGCCTTTACCGGCTTTATGGAAGAGCTACCAATTACTCCTACTCCCCCATTCTTTCCCCATATTCACATTCTTCTTCTTCAAGTGCTTATCTAATTCCCTTTTGAAAGTTGTTGTTGACTTAGGCGATTGTACAATTTATAAAGATAAGACTAATGTGAGTCTTACATTATTTTATAATTATTATTAATAATAACATCTGGGATCCTGTGGTTGTCGCCGGCATCAGGTCAGGTCAGGCCTCGGTCACCCTGCGGTCCATGTAGTCACCTCCCCAGGCCAACCACCAGTAACTTGTGGATCCCGTACCTCAGTGGTTAGAGCACGTGCCTCACAAGCGAGAGAACCTGGGTTCGATTCCCGGGCAGGGCGATACATTGCGCAAGTTTCCTTACCCCACACACACAGCTCTGTTTAATAATCCCTTTAAAAAATTGATCGTTCAATCCATGACTGTTTGTGGAACACTGCTGTGAGCAATAGACTGCCGCGTTTAGCCCACAAAATATACGGTTAATTCACTTTCCAGTATATTCCGTGAAGCGCTTTGAGACGTCTCAAAGTCGTGATAAGACGCTATATCAAATGCAAGGATGATTATTATACACATTCTGTGGTACACATGCTCTCAGGTACATGCGCTCTCCAGTACATGCTCCAGTACATGCTCTCAGCTGCAAGTTTGACTCCCTCAAGCTCTGTGCAAGTGTGTGTGCACCGTGAGTTTATAAAGACAAGGTTTGACCAGCAGTGATGTCTTGTGTATTGGGTGGGGGGGTGGTGGGGGGGGGGGGTGGGGTGCGGTGGGTGGTGGTGGGGGTTTTGGGTGGGTTGGGGAGGTGGGAGGGGATGAAGCTTTGTTCTCGAGTGGGATGTGGGGAGACAATTTGGTTGCGTTTCCCGTGTTTCTTTCTGTTTCTCTGTTTGTGATTGCCTGCCAAGGGGGAAGGGTGGAAGGACGGGTCGCGGGAGGGGTGGGAGGGGGAACAGGCGAGGTGGTGGGTGGGGGTGGGGGGGTACAGGTGGGGGTGGCGTGAGAATTTGTACAAAGGCATAACTGAGAAAGAGAGATACACACAGGTACTGAACATAGAGATCAGCCGCCCATTGCTAACTTGTTACCATGCGATTTGCACCAACGCACTCAAGATTTCTTTTTGTACAACTGATCATGTCGTTGACTTCAGGGTAGATTTGCAGCCTCGCTCTCCCCGCTGCTCCGCCCCGGAGCTGTTTAGCTCTGGCTTAGTTGGTGTGGTCTGTCACCTATGGGGGAGGGAGGACAACGGGAGATTGTGGATTTCAGACCCACGTCTGGGGTTGTTGAGCTCACAGTCCAAGCTGACACTCCAGCCCGGCACTGGAGGGGATCAGGAGGCAGACACTGTCTTTTGGACGTGAAATCGAGCTCCCTATCCATTTGTGCCCTGTTCAGGTGGACTCCAAAGGTCCCTGCGACCCTGTTAGAAAAGAGAAGGGAGCTTCTTTTTCTCTCTCTCTCTCTCTCTCTCTCTCTCTCTCTCTGTTTCTCTCTCTCTCTCTCACTCTACCCCTCTCTCTATCTCTCTCTCTCTCTGTCTCCCGGTCCTGGGTGAAGACGTCCCATATAAAATTTGCCGCAGCTGTCTGTATTTGCCAAAGGAAAATTTGATTCGGCAGCTGTCTTCTCTCTCTGACACGTTTCCGTGGGGCTGTGAAAAAACAAGCAGGACTTGAGCCAATTCTCCAGTTCTGATTCCACTCAGTTCATTCGACCTTTCCGAATAGCTGACTGGCATTTGAATCTCCCAAAATTTCCAATGCCCCATGATAGTTCAATCCATGACTGTTCGTGGGACACTGCTGTGCAATTGGCCGCCACATTTTGCCCACAAAGTGCACAGTCGCTCTACAGTATATTCTGTGAAGTGCTTTAAGACGTCTCAATGACGTGATAAGGTGCTACATCAAAAGCAAGGATTATTTATTTATGTCTGATCGCTCTAGGGAGTGAGTCCATCACTGGTGGGGTGCGGGGCGTGAGGGAGCTGAGCGCTGTGAATCTGTCACTGCTAATATACAATGGAGGGGAAGCTTTAATCTGTATCCTACACATGATCTTGTGCCGGTCAACATGTTTGCCTGTGACTGAGTGAATAACAGAATGGAATCTAACTGATGCTTCGTAATATATATATATATATATGTTTTTATTTTGATATTAATATGCATGTGTGTGGTGAACATGTGTGTCTGTGAGTGTGCCTTGGGGTCTTTTTGAATCATACAATATTACAGCACAGAAGGAGGCCATTCAGCCCATTCTACCTATGCCGGCTCTTTGGAAGCGCTACCCAACCAGTCCCACTCCACCGCTCTTTCCCCAAATCCTTGCAATTTTTTCCTCTTCAAGTACATATCCAATTCCCTTTAGAAAGTTGTTATTGAATCTGTTTCCACTGCTGTTTCAGGCAATGCATTCCAGACCGTAACAACTCTCTTTGTAAAACAATTTACCCTCATCTCAGCCAGTGATAGACTCTTTATAATGTGTGTGTGTGTGTGTGTGTGTGTATGGGGTGGGGTGGGGGAGGCTGAGCTGTCAGTCAGTGATGGCCCCTCTATAGTGAGGACAGGGTGGAGGTGGGGAGTCAGAGACTCAGTGTATCGACACAGATATTGGGAGATCGAGAATGAAGGAAAATGCGATTCAAGGCGTGGAATGAAATTAGAAGTTATTAACAATGAATAAATAAAAAGACGAAATTCCCCCCCAAGAGTCAGTGCAGACATGACTGGCCGAACGGTGTCGTACATTTCTGTGGTTCCTCCTGTGAACAGCACCTCAGGGCGTGTTAGGTGGGATAACACAGTGAATAAAATCTGTGCTTCCTGTGTCTCGAGCAACAACAAGAGAGGTTTGGATGATGAAGGCCCTTTGGCAATCTCATCCCATCCAGCATCAAGTCATTAAGAGTCCTATAGCTCAGTGGTTAGAGCACTCGCCTTGCAAGTGAGAGGACCTGGATTCGATTCCCGGCCAGGGCGAAACCTTAGGCAAGTTTCCTTACTCCACACGCCTCTGTTTACCACGCAGTAAGTAGGAACCCGCTTGTTTCTCGATTGGCAGATTGCTTTTCCAGGGGTAACAATCCCTTCAAAAAATAGATTAATTCAATTAAAAAACAAATCATAATGTGGTCACTCAATCCACGACGTTTCGTGGGACGCTGCTGTGTGAAATTGGCTGCCGCATTTTGCCCACAAAATATACAGTCACTGCACTTCACAGTATATTCTGTGAAGCACTTTGAGATGTCTCGAAGACGTGATGAGGCGCAAAGTCAAATGCGAGTATTATTGTTCCTTTCGTCATTCCCAGCCTCTTGGCCTCAAGTACCCTGCCCGTTCACCCTGTTCTGGCTCTCATTTTCCCTCCCCACTGCTCGTGCGTAAAGAAATGCCGGGGTCCATCCATTAATTGCCCCTCACGCTCCCTGCTTCTTGCCCTGATGTCTTGGTGTATCTGAGAGTGGTGTTACTTTCTCAAGCCGATTTGGCACTGTAACCTCCGGGAGGTCGTTTTGTTTAAGGATCAGTCTGGTTTGCGTGTAGCATTCCGACACAGGAATGTCACAGTGTACAATCTTTGCCTGCAGCGAAGACGCCCCT